CTGAGTAAATACTTGAACCCCTCGTTATCGACAACCGAAAATGGTCGCATATCCAGTGCCATAAAAATTGCATTTGTAATTTTCTGTGCTCGATCTGAACACGCTGGAAATTTTGCTTGGAAGAAACTAGGTAGTGTAGGCTGCTGCTAGGTTGTTTTCTGTGCTGCAGCTGTCGCGATTCTCCCTTATCACACCGCGACACAGGATCGTGGATCTGAGTGTCGCGATTTCGGTTTCATATCACGTACCGTTACAGCTCTAGCCATCAACTTCTCCATTTCAGGAAATCCCCATTTTCTCTTGACAATAGCCCATAGTTTTGTAATAGGGATTGGGTCAGGTTAGTTGTTTAGGCAAATAAATTCCATGGCTATTAAACCAGGTACTGGTATTTTTTGTATTTGCTGATGCCAAATGTAACTAGAAAACAAAATGTCTCGGAAGCATGAAGTGCAATAAAATGTCCTGATAGACAGCTACATTGACTGAACTTACTAAAACACAGTGGACCCACACCAGCCGATGCTTCTGATGTTGTTTTGGTTCAGGAGTTGCTTGATGCATGGAACTTTACACTTGTAAACCATATCATGCATGCATTTGTTTGTGGTGGTTCTTGATGCCACCAGTCTCAGCCCCTCAGATTTCAACCAAGTCAACCTTGATTGCGTCCCTCTTGCACCTTTTCTCTCTTGTTAATATTCCTCAACAATGCACTTTTTGAGCATCCGGCTTCTTTTGCCATTGCCTTTTTGAGACTCCTTATGGAGGATGTCAAAGATGGTCTTCAGCACAACCACAGTCAGCAGTCTTCTCCATGATTAATTACGTAAATATTGGGCCTACAATGTTGGATTTTCCAATATTCTCAGAAATAAAGGCTTGAAATATTTCGCTTTGTGAAATTTGAAGTAGATTTCCCTCGATGTACTATCTTTTGGCACTGAAAAGATCGAAAGATATGTGTCTGGTGAAGATGATGCACTGAAAGTAATTAAAGAAACATCCTTTAAAAACACGGTTCCACAATGTGCTTGTTCTTCCTCCTCGTCTCAACACTGAAAACTCCATCTTCTGTTGCCAACATTCTGACTTGGCCAAAAAGTTTATTAGTGTGTTGTTACGGCCATCAGGGGGGTTGGGCTGGGAGAAGAAAGTGAACTTTTGTGATATTGAAATGCTCTCTAAGCTGCGGTGCTGCCTAGCCAAGCTCTAGATGAAAGGTAGTAATTACACTAGTACAATGAAGCCCTTTTGCTGACTTCTATCCCCCATCTCGATGCTTTTCGCTCTCTGTACACACAAATCTGCCTCTCTTCCTCTTTTCTCAGGCGGCTACCATCTTGCTAATACTGCCCGCTGCTGGACCTATCTGACTGGGACGATCCTAGAACAGTCTCTGTCTTCTGAGATCCCAGACCATGAGGTGAAAGTCTGTTCCCTGATTTCTGTCAACACCTGTCTGAAACCCTGTTCTCCCGTTCTCTTTGTCCTCCGTTCCTGCTGAGTCACCCAGTCTAATCAAAGATGCCCAGGCACTTCTCAATAACTGGGTTTGTTTTCATGTGATTCAGGAGTGTAGAAGGGGCAGGAGGGCAGTGTGTATGTGCACACTATTGATGGGGTCTTGACAATAGTAGTCTGTCCTACTGGCTGACTGAGAGGGTCTTGTGCTTTTCTTTCCTCAACTGTTTATACCTTTCTCTTTCCTGGGAGAATGAAAATCTGTATAAAATGAGGCCTTTAAAGACGTATATCAAGTTTTTTTTGTCAGGCTTCTGAGGAGAGATGAAGGGATGGGATGAGAAAGCCTTCTGGAGGGTTTGATATCTTTTTTACTAGTGAATCACAAAGAAGGTCTTTTAATGTTTATAGAGAGTGCTTTCATGGTCATTGGAAGAATTGATGCCTTTGTTGGCTTGACATCCCTGTTCACGTGAAACTTCATTAAGAGATTTTAGTTATTGATTCATTTTTGGAATTTCATGGTATTGCAATGACAAGAACAGGTTGCCACTAATTCACCAGGTTTGGATTTCACCAAACTTGTCCAAAAACTTGTCTCACATATTGATTAAGGGTTGTCTGTGTGGACCTGAGATTGATTGGTATTAATAATATTGGCTTGTTTTTAATGGGGCAGCATGGACATGAATAAGTCTATCCCAGGGACATTGCAAGGAGAGGCTCCAAGTCCATGCTGCCCCATTAAAAACAAGCAAATATTAATAATTAATGTTTTAAAATAGACATGAACTGCCGGATTGAACACTAGAGGTATAACGATATGCGTATTCGTTTTGAACCATATTCGCAATTGCACATGCATACAGAACGACTCTGCCTGAAACACATTCATCTCCTTTACTCGCCTTTCGGGGTCATTGGGGTTTGCAGGTGCCCATCTCCAGCACACTTCGGGCAGTCCAGCTACTCCCTGGACAGGTCTCAGGGCCATCAAAAGGCAACACACACAGATTCACTGTGAAATTATAGTATTCAATTAAACTTTGATGCATGTTTTTTTGGGATTGTGGCGAGAAAACCTACGCAAACATGCAAACTTCTTCCCAACAACCTTCTGACTGAAAGGCCAAAGTGCTACCCACTGTGCTTCGTGCTGCAAATTCAAATTGGATACACATACTACTTCAGCATGAAACGATGATAGAAAATGATGACGTTTACAGAAAACCCTTACCTTCAGTCAACACAACATGTTTGGAACATGACTTTTTGTCACGACCATCTATCATTTTCAATATATTGTACAACATGAAGTGAACTAAGGGCACAGGTTTTTTTTTGTGTTAATTCAAAGAGAAACATTGTTCCGCTTGCTTGTACGTTTTAAACACTCACAATTATCAAAAAAGTTCAAAGTACTCATTCATTAATTTCCCTGCCTGCTTATTCCCTCTCGGGTCTCCAGCTAACATCGGGCGAGAGGCGTGTATACACCCTGGACAGGTCGCCAGTCCATTGCAGGGCAAAGTACTCCAAAAAAATTAATTTAAATTAAAGTTTTAAGTTAATGTGGATTGAATTAATCGATTAAGTACAGCATTGGGGTTTACCCTTGCGGACAACTCCTTTGTTGAATTATGTGCAGATTCAAAGGCCAATGTGTTTAAAACAGCCAACTGAGGTCCTTCATTACTTTATTAATTGGTTTGGTTGTTACCATAGTTTTACTTGGTGCATTACCGCTATACGAACTAACTGGTTACCAAGGCATTTAGAGTGTAGGGCCAGCTCTTCAACTCATCATTCTTCTCTTGATAAATTCATTGTTATTGTCTCCTCCATTGGGGTTTCACTGACAGGCATGCTCTCACCCCCTCTTTGAGAGTGGAACCCCATCTCCTCACCAGTGTTGTTATTATAGGCCCAACTTGGCCAAACAAAACACTCTTTAACCGTAGTGTGAGTTCATAAAAAGCGCAAGAGACTCTGATAAGGCTGTTAAAAGACTGAGAGGCGTCCACCAATGGCACATAAAAGGATAGAAGAGAATTTCAGTGCAGAGGAAGCTGGGAACGAAGAGATGGAACAAGAAGCACTTTGTACCTGTGCAATCTTGCTCTTTCTCTCTCTACTCAAGTCGGTCCAGCTGCGGAGACTGCGAGGCGGCTCTTTCTGGGTACTGCTCTGCCAGGACTACAAACAATGAAGACGGACTGGAGTGGAGACATACAACGAGCTCATTCAGACCCTGTCACAGACACAGAGAGATGAAAAAGTGAGGCTAATATAGACTGTCCTCTTGCAAGGGAGAGTCTCACAAAGAATGAGGGCCTATTATTTGGACCTGAATTGTTGCTCTTGAAGAAGCTGATGGATTGGAAACACTTGTACAGTGCTTGGCCCATGACCGCAAAGTTTCTAGTCCAAATGGAATCCATTGTTGGCACCCTCAACCTATTTTATTGAGAATAGATGCCATCACAATCACTGCTCATTTTTTTTTTTTATTTGCATTCTGATCAGAAGGTTTGGCTGTCTGTAGGATTGTCTTAAAAGCTACAAGTTTGCTTCATAATAAATGCTCACCATAGTTGTGCATTAAGGTTATTTTATATCTGAGTGCTTTCATACTTAACTTGTTCAGTTTGATTCATTTGAACTAGAGTTTGTTTTACCTTTTAATCTGGTTCGTTTGGGCAGGTGAGAAAGCAGCTACTGAACTCAAGATCTGACCAAAAGTGGTCTGAGACTGCTCAAGGTGTTCTCACTATTTATACAAACACACTCTAGAGTACTTCATTATGGTTGGCGCCTTAGTCTCAAAGCATTGGTTACTTTTGTGTCTGTCATTCTAACCGATCCAAAAGCAGTCAAGGAAACACATACTATATGACCAATGAGTGGTCCGTATGTCGTCACATTACTGTATTTCCATCTAGTGGGGACCAGAGTGCTTGTGGTGGTAATGAGGACTAAATCTACAGACAATTGCAACAATGTATCAGTTGTTCCTCTTGGTCAGTGTGTGTTATAGATTTTTTTGTTCTCAATTACATAATGGGGACTCTGATGTAATAGTGAGAGAAGAAACTAAACTTTCTTTAACTAGCCTAAAGCAAACCTGACCAATGAACGAGGAACGGAGAGAAAAAGTTGAGTGAAGACGAGAATTTAATCATGCTAGTATATTTTGTCACAAAATGAATGTTTGTCACACCCCCCATTTACATTAATTGCTGTCCAAGATGAACCAAGTACAATGGTACCCCAAGATATGACTGCTTCGAGTTACGAAATGTGGAAAGTGCTGCTCCGTAGCACAAGTTGGAGAAACCCTGTGACGGTTTCTTTAATTCATGAAATTCTCTTTCAAGAGATAGAGTTCAATTGTGTTTACCAGACATTAAACACTTTGTAGCATGCATTGAATGGGAATTAAAACAATACTTTAATATTTTCACAATTACAAAACGCACATTTGCGTGTGTCAACTAGCAACAGTCAGAATACACAGAATGCACAGAATACTTGGACCAGTTGTGCCCTAGTGGTTAAGGAGATTAACTGCAGATTAGAAGGTCACTGGTTCGATCCACCATGACTGTGGTGCCCTTGAGCAAGGAACCAATTTCCCCTACTGTTGCCCAGGTTGGGTCAATTTCTAGTATGGTAACTCCATACTTGGTTAATGTTACTTTTACTTTTCACTCACAAGGGCCACCATCTGAGACTATAGGTACAGGTGGCCCTTGTGAGTCCACTTCTGCTATCCTGGGTCCACTGGAAGAACATTTTAAACCCTCTGTTACCAACCTTGGTTTTAAGATTTTACCATTTAAGACGTCTGGCTAAGGTGAGACCATTTCTCTCTAGGCCACACTTAGAAAATCTGTCTATCCGTCAGTCTTTGCTCTCTCGTCTGCACCTGGTTCACAACGCGGCTGCTCGTCTTGTAACTGGTACCCGTAAAAGAGAGCAAATCACCCCGGTCCTCGCATCCCTCCACTGGCTGCCTGTGTCTTATAGAATTCATTTTAAAATCCTTTTGTATGTTTTTAAATTTTTAAATGGACTAGCCCCACGATACCTCTCTGAACTTGTACACACCTGTTCTACTTCTCGAACCCTAAGGTCAGCCAACCTGTTGCTCCTGCAGGTACCGAGGTCCATGAGGAAGCTCAGGGGGGACGGTGCTTTCTCTGTCTCTGCTCCTCAGTTGTGGAACCACCTCCCTCTGGCCATTAGAGCTGCCCCTTCACTGCACACTTTTAAAACTCAGCTCAAAACTCACTTTTTTTTTCACCCCTTTATGGTTTTATTTGAGGTTGCATAAAAACAACACAATCGGTCTACAGATCGCTCAGCTCACACGCTTGCTGCATTCAATGGTCTAGCGGGTTGCAACATTGATGAGGTCAACGGTCATGTGACGTCTGCTGCTCCAATGAGACGGCTCCAAACATTTCCCGTCAGCTTGCGGATGGTCGAGGTGTAGTAGCTCTGGCTGCGCTCCTCCAGTGGGCTCCAGTGGTGCGACCGGATCTCGATGATCTCCAGTAATAAAGAGCGGCTCAGCTGAGACTCGCTGGGACTCAGCATCTTGTCTCGAATGGCAGCCAGAAGCTCCGTCATCATCTCTGGAAGCTGCTTCTCCAGGAGACGCCCCGTGCTCTGGAGCTCCATGGAGCAGCAGAGCACAGCATCTTCACGAACCTCCGATGAGTCCAGCAGCTCTCGGAGGCAGGAGTATATAGGGCACACCAGCACTCTGAAGGGTTGCCCGTTGCTGCTCCTCATGGTGTTGAAAACCTCACACAGGAAGGTGATAAAGCCCAGCCAGCTCTCCACATCGGTGTTCCACAGCTCGTCGCCCCACGTGAAATCCCGCTGTAGCATGTTGAGAAGCAGCGAGCGGAATTTGGTCCCCTCCACCATGAAGTCGGCCATCTTGTCACAGAGTTTGGCGGTGGTGGAGGCGAAGCTTCGGTCGCTGAGGGCCTTGCCGTAGACGGTTTGAACGATCATCTGGAGGGTCTCCTCAGATTGGGCCGAGCTCTGCGCCTCCATCATGAAGCCGCTGAGCTGCTCCTCCACCCCGCTGCTGTTGTTCTTCATGGAGCTCAGGATCTCCAGCAAACGCTCCGTCCGGCTCTGCTGCCGCCCCAGTGCTGCCACGGCAACCTCCTCCTTCTCCTTCAGCCTCCTCCTCAGCCACTCTTTGGAGGACTGCAGCAAGCAAATCTTCCCACTCTCCGTCTTCTCTTGGTTCCTCCTCTCCTCTTTCACCGGCTCATCCCTCGCTCCTGTCTCAGTGCAGGGCTGCGGCTCAAGGCACTTCTCGTTCTCCATCTCTTTGGTGCTGCGTGTGGCGGGTGTTGGACTGCTGGTCTGATGTTTCTGCTGCTGGTTCCAGCGGCGGTTCTGGCTGTACCCGTGCCGCCCGCCTTGATTCTGCTGACCCTGGAAGCCTCGGCCTCCATGATTTGTGCCGGATTGGTTGTCTGGGTTGGGCTGTTGTTGCGTCTGATTGGTCTGTTGCAGCGGCGGAGGGTTTTGGGACCTCCCTCCAGACCCTCCTCCTCCAGGGTGGCGCTGTTGCCTCAGTCTATCGTTCTTGCGCCGGCGGAAGAGTTTTTTCATCTGTGCAATCTCAGCTTCATTATGGAGAGGAGGAAAAACCGGGAGGCTGGGCAGGAACTTCTCCACACTCTCCAGGTCTATACCATCATCATCATCATCCTCCTCAGCGGCAGCATCATCCAGCTTGCCCTTCATCATCCCCTCGCGGTCGATGTGCGGCAGGGGTTTGGCTGTTCCTCTGAACGCTCTCCGGTGAAACGGGGTAAAATCCAACTTCTCCGGCTGCAGGTCCATCGTGGCTCCTCCGTGGCTGTCCAGGTTTGCCGCCCAGATGTCGGTCCCCAGGATGTCGAGAGAGGTGTCTCGGTTTCCATTCTTGTGGGGAGCGGGGATCTGCTGGTGTCTTCCTCTGGAGCCAGAGCTGCTGGGTCTGGAGCCACTGCTGCCGTTACTGCTCTGATCCCACTCGTCGTGTTTGGACGAGCCCCTTCCCCGTGAAGACGTCCAGCTGTCTTCGATCCGATCACTGCAGTCTTCAGGCCACTGGGCGGTGTGTGGAGGCGTGTGCTCCTCCTCCTGGTCCTGTTCGTCCTGGTTTTTGTCGTTCAGCAGGCCCTGTACCTGATACTCCAAGACGTAGATGTCGATGAATCGCTCCAGCTCTTCAATCTCCTTCAAACTCACTTTTATTCTTTGGCTTTTAAAACTGGCAGAACTTAGCTTCTTTTATGTGTTTTACGATTATGTGTTTTAAAACTGTATTAATTTGGTGAATGTTTTAACAATTTTTTTTACTTCCAAAGACATGTGCAGCACTTTGGTGTCAGCTGTCGTTGTACTTAAAGTGCTTTATAAATACAGTTGGTATGGTATGGTATGGTATGGTAGGTAGACTCCAGTTTCATTTGGTTTCTACTGGTTTTTCTCCAGTTTCATCTACCTCTACAAAAATGTAATAATAGTAGGCTAGAAGCACCTAATTAGTTAGGTCTTGGAACGCCATCCTTCTGCAAAACCAAACATGGAGGGTGACCTTCATTAATCCTTGCTGTTTCAACATGTGATCGCTCTGGTCCGCACTAGTTGAAAATAGAGCCGTGTGACATCATACACATTCATTGTCACTTGACAGATCAGTTGTGTTAATCGCTTTTGATTCATCTTGCAAATGAAACTCTGCCATGAAAATTGCTGCTATGTAAACAGACACATACCAACCCACAATGCCATGTGCAAGTGAGTATGGTGGCTGTTTTCACTCAAACGCATGTGTTTGTCATCTTTATCTGTGTTTAGTTTGAATCAGAGTTCGATCATGTTATCACCATATGCAAACCACTTTAGAGTTCATTTGGATTCATACAAATGGTCTGTTTTTGCTTTCTCACCTGCTCAAATAAAGCAAACTAAAAAGGAGGTGTGAAAGCACCCTAAGTTTCCTTTAATAATGAAATAAAATAAAAAAAAACCAGAAAATTAACCTTTTTTTCCAAATTAAAATAAAGTACCATAAATGGTTTAGGTTACAGTGTTCAGTAGACATACAAATATATTCACATGTAAGTGAGGTCATTTTTTTCAGGAAAAGTAAAACCCTGAAAAAGGTACCAAGTATGAGCAGTGTTGCCACAATGGTGAACTTGATTTGTGTTTGTGAATTCTCAGTGTTTTTGTTTGCATTCAGTCGGTGATTCTACTCGGTCTGTGGGTGGATGTGGCCCTCAACGCTCTGTGGCTAGTCAACATCTGTGCATCCTCTTAAAAAAATCTTTTTCTTATTTCTGCCAAGTTTTTTTTCAGCACAACCCAATGAAATAATAAACACAGAGAGCTTTGTTTCCCCCCTGCAGTTTGTCATTCAGATAGATGTTGTCCTTCACTCTCTTTTTCACTCACTCTTCTTTTCTTTGAATGTGTTGAGCATGAGAATTCAGAGGACTCTGCATCATTTCCCTTGATTGTTCAAACAATGTACCTTGCAGACAAACGTCAACAATCTAGATACTCTCAACATTTCATCCACATAGTTTAGACAGAGATTCGTTCGGTTCGGTTTTTTTTCTTCTGTGATTGTAGAAATTGTTGATATTGAATAAGTTATTCAGGAGGGTGAAGAGATAGCATTGAGCAGGACAAGGACACGTGGTGGATTGCCTGTGTGTGTATAGATGTGTAAACATGGAGTGGTTTCAGACCAGTGATCTGCCTTGCAAATTGATTTGTATGAATACCAGGATGGTTTTCTCATCACTCTTCAGCTGATTTTAATTCTTGTGTATTTAGTCAGAACTTTTCTACAGTTCATGTTCGTTTTTAAACAAACATTTTGGTCCATGTACTCCTGCTCTTATTAGTTGGCAACATTTTCAACCGAGTTCAGCAGGACGTTGTGTTTGCCAGTAGTTTTAGATTTGCTTTGTCTGCTGTTTTGCCCTTTGAACCAGGTCCGGTACTTCAACATAAAGTGCGAGACAGACAGACTGTCAGCACTGGCCTGGCTCATTACAGCCCGCACGTAATGACTGATCTAGAAGGGAAGCCAAGCCTTTCAGACTCTGATATGCTGTTTGTCCGCCCATGTGTTCGATTTGGACAATACTAAAATAGTGTGTTATTATTAACCCAACATTTGGATTTCATCAAATCATTCTTTGTCAGCTAATTAGTTTTGGTAGTTTTGATTAGACTTTCAGAAAAAGATCTAGAGATGATCACTTCAGACTCATTCATCTTGAAATAAAAAAAAGAGTTTGTAAGAAAAGACACTCTATCTTCTGCTGCGGGTGGGACTAGCTTTGTTTTTGCGTCAGGGAAGTTGCTGGCTCCCTGAATTCCGGAGTGGAAGAAATGCTGGAAATGAGCTTTGGGGAAGTCCATAATGGATGCTGGCTGGTGTTGATGGTTAGGGGTCAAAGTTTAAAACATCTGGAGATGAAACCTCATCATGTCTTTACTTGGCCTCTTAAAAATGAAGTGTTCAGTCATATTTTGATGCCATTATTTGCCTTGTATTTGATTGTCTAAAT